TTCGGGCTGCGTGTTTCACGATGCATCGTTCTGCATAGACGTTCTGTGCTAAGGATGTTTCGGGTATTGTGCTGAGGATGCATCGTTCTGCATCGATCTTCACTACAGTCTCCATGGCAGCTCTTTTTTTGGGTTTTACTTTGTAGAACCCTAAATATAGAATTGGGTAAACCAAAAAGAAGAACTACAATGGAGACTGTAAGTCTGCCTTAAAGATGCTTCAGCTTGTGGGGTATACGATGCATCGTTTCGCATAGACGTTCTGTGTTGAAGATGTCTCGGGTTGTGCACCGTAGCCGAACTCTGAAATAAAACCCGAAATGCCTCTTCGGGCTCCTCCGCGCCCGCTGTGTCGGGACACACCGGCTCCTGCGACGAGAGCCATGAGACAATGGCCGGCTTGCGCAATCCCGGCCTCCTCATTGACGTTGTCGGGCACTCCACGCACAGCTTCAGCCTGCGACGTTCAAAGGGAACATCGAGAATATTTGCTACGTTAACTCTTCAATCAAGCTTGAGCATCTTCTCTACTCGTGCGGTCTGGCCTGCAAAGCCATCTTGCACTGAGGTTCGTGATTCCCCACTGGCGCTGCATCTTGGGCCTTCCAATTTGGATGGTTTCCACTCCAAGTGCACACGAACGTGAGATAGTCTTCAGTACAACTACCCTTTTGCACGCCTTCCGCTTGCATCCCGGGGGCGATGTTTGCACCTGGCCGGCAGAGCCGATGCCACGCGGATGTATTTCATGCTTGCCCAGCTGCCTTCGAACGCAAAAGCCACGATTTCAAGGTGGGCGGGTCCTGACAATTACATTGCAGCGAAATTTCCAAATCAATCAAACCTATCAATGTCGCTCCTCCTTGCCCTCTTTCTGAGCGAACAGCTTTGCCTGCTTGTGGGTGCGGAAGCGCGTGCCGTCGAGCTCCCAAGCAACTGGGTGAACAGCAGTCCGTTTACACCGCGCAACAAAATTAACCTCAAACGAATAGCAGGCGAGGGAACATACACATTACCCAAATCTGCCAAAGGGGCAGATGCTCTCGCCCACCTTCGAGCCAGTCAAACGTTGGCCACTCGTCACGATTTTCCACTCGGTCATGGCTCTGGTGCCGAACATACTAAGACTTTGGAAGGCTCATGGCAGCAGCAGCACCGCTGAATGGAGATTGTTTTGACTACACATTCACAACAACCTGCGAAAATCTCAAGCTCCTTCCCTTGATTAGCGGACTCAGGGCTTCAAAGATTGGCTGAAGACTTCGGGACGGGGCTTGGCCGTAAACCCTACCACTGAATCCTTAGCCCGGACATACTTCTTCAAGCTGCAATGCTGACTCTGCAAGTTTAAGGCTTGGGGTTCTAGTTTTAGAAGTGCCGCAGAGCAAAAGCAAAGACCCCTTGCACAACAAATCATTACCTACCTACATACAGCTACTGTCGAGTTCTGCTCTTCCGTTGGGGGTATCAGTCGGGGTATCGGTAATCGGCCAGGCCAGTACAAACGATGCCTTTGACTGAGTTCAATCTATGCATGTAGTTGCGGCCGCCCTCATAACGAAGAGTGTTTGGAAACCTTGGGTGATGCCAAAATACAGCCTAGACAACCGGGGTTTTGACCATGACTCATTTGGGTATAATTCGGATGCCCTGGGTGTGCTTGGATGGGTCGCAACTGCAACCATCACGACTGGCCCTTTGTCAGAATTACCAGCCGAACAACACACATGGAAGTCCGGTCTCTGCCGGTTGTCTCGTAGCATTCCTTCTTTCGCCCTTTCTGTGGATACTTCTTGTCTCGCTGTCAAAATCTTCATATCTAGATTATTTTGAGTTCGAATACCAAGGCCTCAGAAATCTTCTTTTGTTCCAGGTTGATCTCAAAGACATGCATACATTAGTTGAGCGATACAATTGAATGTTTTGGACTCAAGGCTTATAAAACTAAAGATGCAAATCGATCATCAAGTGAAACTGCAGGTACAGAGCTATGCGTCCATAGCTCCTTCCACCTATTCCGTTCGTTGGCTGGCATCACGGAATAGGCTGCCAGCCCCCTGCTTCTCTTCATATACGAAGCAATGATGCAAAGACTCTGAAGATTCAAACTCCTTGCTTTTCTTCCAATGCAAATCATCAGTGCAGATACTCTAGAGACTCAAAATCCTTGGATACAGGAGTTGCACACACACACACACGCAGCAAAACGGCACAAGCGAATGCAGCTCCAGAGTCGATGCTCAAGGGGGAATCTGGTCCAAGCCATCTCAGCATTATCGCCAGCACTCCCACCGCCACCAGAAAGAAATCCAGAAGAAACCAGGCATTCCAAAACGCATTAAAACCTTGCAATTTTCGTGAAGCTTGTCACAGACTCGAAGCTACCTTCAGAGCTGCAGCCGCCTCCTGCCATAACTCTGGCCATAAGCTCCAGCGTGTAGATGAACAAGAAGGCTTCTCGGCTGCAAGATGCTGCAAGCAGTGCGTATTACCATCCGACAGCCGCGGCCATCGGTCTTGAAGCGAGGCACTCTCCATGGTCTCAACCCACTCAGGAACACCAGTGCGCGACAGCGACAGCTGCGCCTGTCAAGAACATGCCTCTGTGCTACCTTGCAGGGGGCATAAACGATATCCGCACCTCAATGCCAATGGTGAGCATGTTGACAAAAATGATCATGCCGGTGACCTAGCAAATTGCTTGCGAAGCCTGCTGGATGTACAGCCTTGGGCCGCAGATGGCCGCAGCGCCGGGACCCCGGCGATCTCGAACCATTTTGAGGCTAAGAGACGCTCCGCCACTTCGCAGGGCCAGAGCCGTTTGGCTTTCTGCTTCTTCTCTCTCTGCTTCTCCTCCGCCGCCTGACCGAGCTCACAGAGCTGTCGTCTCTAGAGTCCAGGCTCAGGCCTCCAGTGCATCTTCCAGAATTTCGTTGATCACCTGCTGAAGAGTCTAGGGCCTAAGGTCATGCAGACGTCTGACATTCGAGCACACATTTGTGCCAGGCCTTGCGCAGTGGACCAGGAGCTGTTTTGAAGTTCTGCACGGTCGAAATCCGCAGTTTCTTGAACGAGATTCCGTTCTGCACTGCCGGGCCTTGCCATACCGAGACAACGGCAGCTCAATTCGAGTCGATTGACCAGTGAAGCGATGGCTAAGGAACGTGAGGCATGTGAAAGAAAGCTCGCGACACTGCGCATGCTTGCAGCACTTGCAATCATGAACCCCTCCGACTGCGGGCTAGCAAGGCCAGCCAGGCCAGAGGCAACGAATACTGTCAACTTAAAGTCCTTTTATTCTACGTATTTCTGCGTAAACCCTGTCTGCTCCGCCTCCTGTAGCAGCGGTTTCCTCCGGAGTGAACTCCAGCTCTGGGATGTCCAGCGCGTTCTGTGGATCTCGCAAGTCCCCTTCAACTCCGTCGACGTCTTCCAGGAAGATGTCGCACCTCCGTAGCTGTCTTAGAGATGAGAGACTTGTCGCTTCGAATTGATTGTAGACAGGATCATGCATGTAATGAAACTAAGGTAGCGCTTCCAGCTCTAGCCGCAAAGTATCCCAAGGAAATGCCGGATTGTTGTAGCGGAACCAAGCATTGAAGAATGGGACCCAGAGGCCGTGGGAGAGATGGTGCGTGCCTCTGTATTTGTGTTCTCGCATGCTCGCGCTTTGCGGTACTTGGAGCTGTAAAATTGAGGTACTATGTCTTGCCATAATTACCTTATGTGATCAACGGCGTTTCGTGTTTCCAGCTGCTTGCACTCAGTGTATTCAGACAGGTTCCGATTTTCTTCATACGGTATCCAGCGAGAAAAAAAGACCGATAACCATTGGCTGCCTGGCTGGTCCCTGGGTTCCCAGCTTAGCTCTGAGTTGATACGGAGCTGGAGCACTGCCAGTGAGCGAAAGTAAAAGCAAGCCCAATAAGGCAGGACCGAGTCGCAAATCTCCGTCCGCAGGAACCGGCTTCGCCGGTCTCGGCTGCCCCGCTGGCTTTTGTGGCTTCGCCAGCAACAGTGAGTCCGCCTTGAACACACTTGTAGCATCCAGTCGTAGGTCGAGTCTGTTGATCAGTGATGCAACATCGTCTCGCCTTAGCCCGGCCGAGCATACAGCAGTCAGAGATCATTAGCCTCAAGCCAGGAGCCATAGCCTTCGCAGGCAAAGTGCAAATTCCCGATACTGTACGGTATGGGAGGCAGTGCGAAGTATCAGCTCTAGTCCCACCGCAACATGCCTCCGACGAGGCTCAAGTGCAAATCACCGCGTTGGGACGGTGAGAAACAATAATACGTGTAAGTACTAATCACTAATCGAATACCAGGTAGCAGGTGCTACACTCGTAACCTTTGCATTCTCGCGTCAATAGTATACTCGCGGAAATGCTGCAATGCACGTGTGTGGGCTCTGCATGTCTTCTCAAAACACATTCCTGCTCGGCGTCCTTATGCATGCTTAAGCCTGAAGGCTGAACTTCCGTACAACAATCAGACAGAACATGTACACTTCTACAGCCGCACATGCTCGGAACGACGGCTTGATTCGAGGCTTTGAATGTGAATAGTTTAAGATCTCTCAGATCTCACCGTATGATTCTGAGCTCTTAGCCAGCTGCAATGCTTCTGGTAACATAGTTCAATAATCAACCAAGCAGCCACTGCTTGTGCTCCGCTTGCAACGCTTCCATCCCTTGCAGTGAATGCAGATGCTGTTGGGTCAGCTCGTCTAGGGCCGGCTTCAACCAGCTCTCCATGGCAGATTGGGCTATATGTGCATGAAGCACACGCTGACCTTCCACTGATTGTGTGCAATGCGCAATAGTTTGGAAGAATGGGCTTTGCTGCAAAAAGCAATGCCGAGTGCTCCACGGCAATCATGCTCTGAGCTCGAAAGCAAAAACGTCAAGATGGTGTACACCTGCGTGGGCCCACTTCCCAATCACCCCCTTGCAAGCGTGGTCAAAAGGTGTTAAAGTAGCTGGTTTGTAGCCTGCTTTGGGCTACGTGTACCTGCGCAGACTACGGAACTCGGTCAGTGGCGGCTTCCCACAGTCTCCGCCTGCGAGGCACGCCTCTCCTTGGTGTATCGCATAAAGCTCGAATTTTGCAACACCGGCTCGTCTGAAGGCAGCGGCGATACGCTGAGAGGGAATTGCATCCGGCAGACAGCCGTCTCTCGAAACCAACAACGAGCCTGTATAGCTTTGGCCGACGCGTGGCGCAGCCCCAGCATAATGCAAGACAGCCCAGCCTAGATCGTCGTCTGCATCCACGATTCGCCAGTACTCTCGCAAGGATATTCCGTTGTCTTCGGTGGTCAGACGAAAACTACCTGGCACATCTCCTGGAAGGACACGGTAGTGGCGCTTGCGCCAGACTTCGCGCCCATCCAGTGTAACCACTTTGAAAACAGGATCGTACCAGCCTCGACTCCCACAAGGATCTCGGTACCAGCTGTTGAACTGGCAGGGGAAGTAGTCATAGGCTGGGTTCTGACCCAAAACTGGCCTCCATGAACAACTTGATGGGTCCAAAGACCAGTGACCCTCCATGATCTTCCATGCCGCTTCGAGACTCAGCGGATTCCCTCGGAATTCAGTTAAGGGATCAAAGTGCAGGTCGGGAATTCGGGCGTCGCAGTCGAAGATGCTGCGACGTTCAAAGCAACGAACTAGACTGGCCAGAGACTCAGACTCGTGGCTTACCGTGCATCGATACATCTGGGTCTGGTCGCGGACGTCGCAGCCGTTCTGATTTGGAATCTTTTAACCACCACACACCCGACTTTAAAACCCTGCACATGCAATCCCGAAACCTGACACTCTAAAATCTCCATAAAACGCCCCGATCCACACCCATAAGCCTTGACTTGAACTCTACTGCTTAAACAACTTAACGCCAACAGTTTTCACACACACGCCTGGCAAGCCAGGCAAGCCCGAGCTTCGGAATCCAAGCCAGCTGCGACAGCTTCGGAGAGGCACTTTGTGCAGAGTGTGAAGACCTTTTCCACCGTGTCGATTTGGGGCTCCTGTGCCACAAACTCCACGGGCATCACTGCGAAATGCACTGCAAAGAGCAGAGCATAAAGGCAGTCCTCAGCACAGTGCATCTTTAGCTTGGTAGTGAGGCTCCGATGAACGCGACGCTACTGCAAGATCCTGACAAATCCCTTCAACCCGGTGCCTCAGATGTTTGCCTTGACCAAAGTTCTTCGCACTGCTGCAGCACTTCAGCTGCACTGCGCCCAGTTTGCTGTCGTGGAACCAGACGTGCCGCCGAGCTGTCGACGCTGTCCCCGGCCGCCGGTGACAGAATCAGAATGTTTCGGCAAGACTGCGCGAGGCGATCGCAGGTTGTCCTCGGGCAGATCTTGAAAAACACTACGAGCACGCTTCGCCTCTTTCGCCACGAGCTGAAATGGCAGGCGATTGGAAGTGGACGCCTTGAGCCCGCCCCTTCCCACCCTCGACCAAAACGACGACACCTGGAAACCTTGGAGACATGCATCTTCAACCGGTGTGCTGGATCCCATGTTGTCCGCTACTTCCAATTCACAAACTCTAGGTACGTAATCCGGAAACCCCCTGTTCTCGCGTGCTCTGCAGGGAGCGCCTGCCCACGTTGAAACCCTGCACTGCAGGCGGGTGCAGGGTGTCTCGCGTCGCTTCTCAGGTCGACCACAGGCCCACAGGCTGATACAGTTGGGAAAGGCGAGTGGCATGCAGTGCTTACAGATGTGCGTGAACTTTCGACACGTCCTGGGCACATTGACGCAGGCGCAGAGCGTCGCCCGTGGTGCGTGATCGGCTGCCTCAAGGTCGACGATGTCGACGCCGAGTCCTGGAACGGCCTGCCGCAGCTTCTTGCACAGATGCTGGGCGGCCTGTCTCCATGTGGCAGGCGTCTGGAAGCCCAATCCCTGAGACATGATCTCAGTACCTGCCTCTCCCCACGGACAGTGGCCTTGGCCCACTACCAAGATTACTTCGGAGTCTCCTTGCTGATCATCATGGCCTCTGCTCAGAGCATTGCAGGTCTGAAAGCAGCTTCGCCTGCTCCAATTTCTCCCACTTCTGTCTCTTGTGGCCCTCCGGCAATGCAGGTTGGCCAAGCGCAGGGTGGCCACTGTGCCCACCGCGCAGGACACTGCACCCACACGCAGGCTTCGCTTGATTCTGCCCCACCGCGGAGCGGTAGACACGTGGTGCGGCCCAAAGAGTGCTAGCCTTGGCCTGCACGGGCAGATGCTAACCTGCGGAACCATCTCCGACGATCTGAGATCTGCTTTCGTAATGCGAAAAATGCATTTGACATGCGACATCGCTTCTGCAAGACACTTGAGTCACTTGACACTTGCTCCTGCGGATCATGCAAAATTGCTACCGCCAAGGATCTCAGCAAAACGCGCGGATGCTGCATGATGCTGATGATGGCATGATGCAAAAAGGGAATGTTGTACAGTAGAGCAAACGGCGACGACTCTGGAGACTCCGCTGTTTTGGGCTTACAGCTACGGAAGGCCCATTTAAAGTGCGCAAGTGCATGAGCTTTTGCCCGTGCAAATTGCGGGGTGCATTAACATAAGCACATCTCTGCCTGAGAGACATCCTGCACTTCGGGTGGGGCCGCAAAGATTCACAAGGCAGAGCTCTGTTGCCACAACTGCCGTGGCCATCTTCCGCACCAGATGCCCAGGACCTCCCTCAGAACCTGCGCAGCCTGGACTTCTACTGAATTCTGTGGGATCCCTTCACCCCAAATGGTTTAGTTTAGCAGCCATTCAGCCGCTGACATTTACAGCTTAGCGCCGGCCTGCCAGCTCAGTGCACCTCGAAGTCGAACTTTGGAGAAGGAGCATCCAAACCCGACCTTGGTGATTCTGCTGAGACCCGCAGGGCCGGCGCGGCCCCTCGCGGCCCTGAGCAGCCCTTCGTTGGGAAGCCTGCTTCTTTCGGATCTTGTGGAGCAGATCCTGAGATTCGCCACAGGCTGTCGATTCGTCAAGTCCGAAGTCGGCGACGCACAGCGACGCAGCGTTTGCCTGCAAATCCTTTGCTGCAGACTTTGCCACGGAGCACTGCTTTTGTATGTCGTCCAGACCTTGAGTGGCTCAGGCTCTCAGACTTTTCTTATGACTGAACCGACTCCAATGTCATCCAGATCCACAACAACGCTGTAGCGATCCCAACCCGCGCTAAGAACCCCGCGAAGTCTTGCCGCCTCCTCAAGGCCTCGCCTCAGATGCTGAGCCACACGACAGCTTTTCATCTGTCGTCGGAGCAGCAAGTGCTTTGCTCTGTGACGACATGCAGTGCCTGCTCTCCACCCTTTTGCGAGCTCAAACTTGCTACCTCTGGAACCTCCCAATCCACATCCGATTGTCGGAATCTTAAGTTCAAACTCAATTCGGCACACTAAGGTGCCAGCATTTGGTTATCAAGGAGATCACCAAACCTCTCTGGCTCGGCCTCCTGCTGTTCGGGGCCAAGGAACGGCAAGCTGCTGTGAGGCCTACGGCCTAACCATCTCTGCTCGTTGGCCTCCAGCGCAAGCCGGTCGCCCTCGCCTCCCAGAAAAAAAGCTGTTGCTTCTTTGCTTCTGCTCTTTCCGTGGTGACAGGTGGCCTCCGGCAGTGGTGTCCGGTGGAAGCGCTTTCAGCAGCAGCTTTTCCAGCTTTTCGGCCTGATGTCTGCCAAACCGTGTCGGATCTGCCCGCGCCATCTATGGAGCGTCCGGTGCCTTCTTCTTCGCGATCAGCATTCCTCTGGATGTCGCCTGTCTCAAACGTAGTGGAGTCAGGAAGCTGGGGTTACGAGCGAGAGAGGCTGCCGGACTTGCTTGCCTCGCCCTTCACCTCTGCCATACCTACCGAAGATATTGTGCAGGACAAGCAGCAGACAATATCTGACCCAGCTAGAGAATCAAGGTAGGATCCGGACGTGCTCGGAAAACAGTTGGCAACACGCATTCAGGCCCCAGCCTCGGGTGAATTCAGATACACTGAGCTCTCCTTCGCCATCTGCGTCAAGCACCTGGCCATGGATTTACAGGGGGCAGCAAGAGCTTTGTAGGAGAAAGCACTGTGCCAATAGAACCGCACAAGACCATCAATCAACCGGATCGCGTAATGCGCCTTGAAGAGTCTCTTGGCCTCGTCCTCATCGAAGCCCAGCAAAAGGAACTTGTCCCTGTGCCCGCGGCAAAGATCGAATGCATGTGCACAGCAAAGAACAGCACTGTGGCAAACAACCTGCGCAGCAATCTGGCATACATCTCGCCTGCATTCCGGGACTGTAAAGGCTGCATCAAACTCCTCCATGGTCACCTGACGACCGGCGAGTTAACCTCAAACGACTGACCGTAGACGGTGTTGTGGCAGGCGCAGGCCTGTCCGCTGCCGTCGGCGTCAAGTCTCAGGAAAAGATTTTTGAGCTCCTCAGCCGCACGAACCGATCCGATGGACCGCAATCGGCAGCCGTGCTGTCCGAGCCTTCAAAGTCCTCTTCTCTTCTGCTCGTAGCTCTTTAGCCATCTCCGCTGCATTCTCCTTCCCGTTAATCACTAGGTCCCAAGCATTTCGCCCCACCTTCCGCTCGAGCTGTGCCTGCGTCATGGACTGAGCCTTCTCGCAGATCACAGCGGTGACCTGCGTATGAACCGGAACGATCGGGGAGCTACACCCAAGGACTGACGATGAACCAACACTTGCCTCAGGTAGGCAAGTTGACCATCTGAGCCATTGGCTAAGTTGAGAATGACATATGCTGAGATGGCAATGTAAAGGAAAAGGAATACCCAGACGAAAGGCTGCTCGACTAAGAGCTCCTGCCACTGTTTTGCCTCTTCTGGGCTCCGGCCATCTTCGAATCAGCGACTGCGGTCCTCCGTGACGTTAATGGCGTTGTCGAAGAAAATGAATCGCGTCATGCCCAGGCAGGCTTGAATCCTCAGAAAGCACAAGCAGCTGTCACAAGCATCGACCTACGCCAGATTTCCGCTCCTCCCGTGTTTTCAGCAAGCCTGCCACTCCTATCTTAATGAAATGCAATGCACCTCACGTCTCGCCCAGGACCGAAGTGGGCGGCTGAGCAGACTACTGCTAGCTGCTAGTCTGAGTTGCCAGCAACCCACTCTGGAAGTTCCAGGCAGCAGCGCCTGTCAGCGGTGATTTGACATGTCTATCACACCTTTCGAGGCAGGAATCAGATGTCGAGAAATTTGAGGCTCTGCCTGGAGGATAGAGAAGATCTTGAGATTTCGGGTGCCGAAGGCCAACATCAATACCCGGCCACACTGAAAGCACCCTGTGAAACAAGTACTCTGTCTTTACTCATAAAAGCATCTGGAGGCTCGAGGTTGACTACTGCTTTTTTGGTGAGCGGTTTCGTTTACCCATCCACCTTCACGGCTTTTAGACGGCTTCGACCTTGCTCTTGTTTATGGGGCCGTGGTGGAGGAGATGCATTCGTGCCGTACTGACACATGAAGTCATCCTTGCATATCAGCATGTGCTCGGATCCTTCTTGAATCTTCGGACTTCAGGTGGACGAGAGGTGGACTAAGGTGGGGTGCTGGGGGGAATCGCTGGCTTTGTTCTGGGATGTTCTGGGGGGTGGCCAGCTTTGGGCTCGTCAAGAGTGCCCCCCGGATTTGCACAGCCGCGTACCAAGTAGGGAGTGCGGCGGCCCGCGAGGTGGAGGCCATGCTGCATTGCAGTGTAACCTTTCGAGCCAAATAAATTTGAAATTGCAGTTGCCACGAGGTAGCTGCTCAGAATGCTCTTGTGCCCCGATGCAGATTTCAGTCGCGAGCAGAAGGAAAGTTACAAAAGTCGCAAGGGTGCGAGTCCTGACGATGCTCTCGCTGTGATACGGCGCTTTCACATGCACAGTTGCACAATGCAGTCTTTTGATGCGAATGAACTTGAGCAAACACGTTCTAGCAATACAAAAGATGAGGCTCTCATGGAAGTTTCTCAGCCATCACAAGCACGAAGCTTCACAGCCTAGGCTTGAACTTATTCTTTCCTGGGTCTGCGGTGATGAAGGAGTTCAAGATCGATTTGGACTCGAGTGCTGCAATTGCCGCGCATTCCATCCATCGTTTTTCAAGAAATTCAGTGTTCCTTCGGACTGCATGACAGCCAAGTGCTTTCGATGCCAAGAAAGCAACTTAAGATTGAGAGTGGGTTGATTGTTGCTCGGCCAGCCCTCCTTCACCTGCACAGTTGGTATGATGGTAAATATACAGCATGCACTTCCACGGTGTTGTGTCTGACTTGACTGCGGGAGGACAATACGACTTCAGTTGGTATTGATTCCAGCACGGTGTATATAATCTCAACAACGATGGGGTTTGGCTTGGCATCAACGAGGGCAGCTTGCCATCCACCCTGCACACCTGCGACGACGCTAGGATGATGATGTATGGAGTAGTTTCAAGGTTTTGGTGAGTCAGTGCATCCCAGACTCTAGGAATAAGTGAACGTGATATTTTGTGCTTTATCATGGGGGAAAGCAGTCTCGGAAACCTGTAATGAAGCAGGATAAACTGACTTTTCCAAAAGTGTAGCCATTATCGGCTACTAACTGCTAGCTCCATCGAAGGGGACCAGCAATATGAAAGGACAAAATGACCACCGGACGGATGGACCAGGGAAGCACGAAACACCAAAGGATCACACCCCAGTAAACAATGTGTTGAGCCAACGCTCAAACACACCCTTTCAATCAATGAAATGCTAGCACCCGTGCTGTGAGGACGACAGCCAGTCCAATCACTCAAAACAGCTGAACGGTCCAATTGGCACTCGCTTCAGACTCGAGACGCACAAATACAGAATAATCAATGCGGCAACACTGAATCGAGTGCAAAGTCACCTATTCCAACCAATCATCAGATGTTCCGACCAGACCAGCGAAAACCGATTCGCTGCTGCTGCTTGCACAAAGTTGAGAGACCAATGGCCTAGCACACTGCTTCCGAGAAGCCCTCGTCATCGCTTTTCTTCCGCATGAAGAAATTGTATGCATTGTTCTAAAGAGATTAAGATTACCGAATAGACTCGGGCAGCGTAACGGACATGTCCGTTGTTGTTGTAGCCGCACAGAGGCTATTGAATAAACATCTGGCTGTGGAGAGTTCAGAGCAATCTAATCGGAGTTTCGATCATGACTTCATTGGAAGGCGATACCTCATTGTCTTGTTCAAACAAGCATGAAGTCAAGGGGTTGTAGGATGTCTTTATCCAAACACAGCCAATCTGATAATTATTCTAGTTCTGGGCAATGGTCTGCTCAGTCATGCTGTCAACTGATCACGAGTCGCACTGCTGACCGCTGCTTATCAATTTGGTCTTCCAAAAGCAGTGAACTCATCCGGGAATTGTGATGTAAGCCGACGGAACGGACTTTGTGATTGACCGACCAACCGACAACCAGCTTGTCCACACCACGCAAGAAAGCACCGTTAGCACTCCTCCCACCCATTGAAATTCATTGTACCGAGAGCTGGTCACAAGTGGCCAGCGGCCTCGTGGTGCACTTCCCCACGCCTCGAAGTTGCCGATTAGCTCGATTGCTAGGATGCCAAACCTTGGTTGCTGGCCGTGTTGCGGCAGGCTTGCATTTCAGTGCATATGATTAAGTCGCGGACAATAGGTCCACCATTGCCAGCAATGCTACGCATGCAGCTAGCGTGGTGGCTGTCCCGAGGATTCCAGCCAGAAGCATCTGTCAAGAGAGCGAGTGACAGCCCATGCAACGACAAGTGTTCACCTCATGCAGATACCGCTGTGCCTTGAAGCTCTCGAAGGTCTTCAGGAAGTTGAAGAATCGCAGGGTCTGCATCATCCACAATGGACAACTGTATCCAGCACATGCATCGAGCAGCAAGGGTTGGGCACACCCGCATGCTTCTGAGCACGTTCAAGGACTGTGTAATCCTTGGTCTGCGTATTGATGCGCCCCCTCGGAAGCAGGCACCTGCTGCTGTGCCATCCGTTGCTGTGTTACTCAGCTTGCTGCGGGCTGCGTTGAACCTAACAACAGGGCGGTGCTGCCTGCTCAAGATCCAGGCATGACGGAGCCCCCTGCATCTTGAGTCAGAGGAATAACCCACCTGAGCTGAGGCATGCGAAAATGCGCGAAAGATATGTAAGATCTTGAATTCTGTCATCTGATGTGGCTCCACCCTGAGACTGCTGCTCGGCTTTGCGAAGGCGTTTTATTGCAGATGTTGGGAAAGAGACAAATGCCGAGGAGGGCATGGCAGCTTCAAGCGGCAAGCAGACTCAGTTCCTAGAATACGATGAATTGGGCAAATCCTTCCAAAAAAACCAACATCCTGGATGTCACGTAGCGGAAAGTATGGAACCAAGGGGCCCGAGCAGCACTCCGCAAACCCAGACGATGAGCGTGTCGAAGACATGCTGGGCCAAAGCTCTCGATGCAAAGGGTGCTTTGAATTGCCAATCAATCCAAGTCATTGCCAGCCTCGGCCTTCAAGGGGATGAAGTATGCCTTGCCGTCCTTAAGAACACCTCGAAACTGCAACAACTGTCGTTCTGCTGAAGGTAGGACAAAGCTGGCCAAGGTCCTAGCGCAGGATCCACTCTGCCAAGAAAAGGAAGACAAACACGTTGTTCATCACTTCATAGAAGTCCTGGCTACCACGTGAAATAGCTAACATCTTCCCAACCTTTCCCATCCAAACACCCATGCAACCAATTCATCAACCCACCCTCACTGACTAAACAATTAACCGTCGGCCTGACAAACCAACTGCCCAGATATCTAACAGTTCTCGCTGTATGTAACACTTGCTGGCAGCACCTTCATCCCCGCCTCAGGCAAGGCAAGGTTGTGCCAGGGTTGCTTGAATTGGGCTCGTTTCGAGTCTTCTCGGACGAACTAGCCTACGCCGCTGCGTGCAGCTTCCTGCGGAGCAAGGGCCGTGATATTCAGTCAGTAAGGTCCCTGCATCGCAGTTTGGGAAGCAGGCTGCATCTGCACCTTGCGGTTGGCTGTCTCAAAAGCATCTTCAGGCGGCTCGCACCAAGGGCCCGTACCCAGAAAGAACATGCAAAGAATGATGGAAGCCATGCTGGAGGCCTCAAACAAAATCACTGCAATGCTTAGGAACTAGCAGGCATCAACACATCCAATTTCCTGTTCTGTATTGGTGTCCCCTGCTACGACGGCGGATGGACGACCATGTTTGGGCAACCAGATGTTGGCCTACTGCGACACCAATGACCATGTCTCCACAACGCCTCGGGGTTAGTGATGTTCACCTGCGAAGCCCAGATGCCGATGGAAGCTCACAGACTGCTCAGCGCCGTCCCGTACTTCAAGACACCCACACGAGTTCTTGGAGTGATTCGCAAGAGATCGCAAGAGTGCGCTAGAGCTCTTGATGTTTTGGTTGATTCATGCGCTGCAGGCGAAATCGAAAAGAATGCTCTTGGCATGCTCGTGGGTTTGCGCTTGGTGAGTCCTCGATCAAAGGAAAGAAGCGCCCGGGCCCCGGCAAATTCCCCATCAAGCATTTTCGCGAAATTGCGTGCTGCTGACCGAGAGAGTGAGGGTGTAACAGAATGCTCATACTTGCAGCCTTTCACTGCCGCTTACAAAATGACACACGATACTATGATTTGCGAAATTGAAACTATCACGTTTGCTGCTTTTCTCGTCAGCATCAGTCGCCCCACATGTCTGGTCAACCCTGTCCACCGAATCCTAAAGCAAAGCCCCAGCAAAAAACTGCCGGTCCTCGAAACCGTTGCTGTTGACGATTCGATCCAGCACCGGTCTCTCCAACCTCGATGCCTCATGAGAGCTGTCGCGGGAGGGTTGCGACAAACTCAGCCGATCTCAGCCGTGCCAAAGCAAGCAATTCAGAAGCCTGTCGTTCATGCGAAGCCAAGCTTGTAAGTGTATGCTGCAACGGCACAAATTTGAGAAAGGTAAAGGGTCCCCTTGCCCACCCCACCTTCCGCTTCAACAAGGCCGCCTCCTCTCTGCAAAGCCACGGGCAGCTTTCACTTAGCCCCCTGTAATCCCCCGTAGAAAATGATTGGGACAAACTCCGGATTGGAGGAATTAGAGGAGAAGGAATGTAGCACAGACAGACTGATCGTTGCCAAAATGCTTTGATGATCTGGCCATGCGAAGTCCGGCTGCTGGCAGAATGCACAGGATCCAGAACTAATTTAGGTTCTTTTTGTTTGAATTGGTTTTTGTCTTACCTGTCCCACAGCAGATGCAAACATGTCTCGTGGACGTTCTCCTTTACACTCACATGATCCGCACTTTTTCACGTGTCACCTAACTTTTCGCATCCTGCGATCGACAGCACATGGTGCTGATCTGGTCCCCACATCTTATTATTTACACAGGATGCCGGTGGTGCGATGCCTACTTTTCATCCCAGTTGATCACATTCTTCAACCCGCCCTCTCGTTTGGCGATCCAGAAGCGGAAAAACAAAGAAACAGAACAGCGGAAACCATAACAAGATATAACAAACAGAAAACACATACCTTCTTTTGGGACTGTTTAGCAAAAGGTTCGCGGGGGCTTGCGATGGTGATTCCGATTCATCGTCTATCTTAGACATCCCCTCTCATTAGCATGATTCCGGTTTATTCTATCCCCCTCGTTTGGCGATTCCGGTTCACATATACACATATATACACATATCTATAAATATCTTAAACACGCCCCTCATTTGGACGCCCCTCATCCTGCGATTCCGGCTCATCATATACTTTAAACACGCCCCTTCATTTGGCGATTTTGGCTCATCACACATCTCAAACACGCCCGCTCATTTGGCGAGTCCGGTTCACCATGTTTCTGTATTTTAGACACGCCCCCTGAGTTGGCGATTCCGGTTCAACATATATCTTCAACAGGCCGCCTTAATTGGGCGATTTCGGCTCATCACATATCTCAAAAACGGCCCCTCATTTGGCAACTCCGGTTCATCAGATCGCACGTAAGAGCAGCGCACATGTCATCAACGAAGGTCAGTTACCTTTACGGCGGATGACCGCTAAAAGGCGTGGAAACTCAGCTATACAGTCTTTGCAGCCGCTCGAGCCAAAAGCGACTGGCATGGGGGTGGCCACACTGTCAGAAGCCAAAGCAGCCCGAGCACATCTCGTCGTGGGAATCAAACACAAAAAAATTGTGTACCCCCGTGTATGCTGAGGACCCGGGCCAAACTGGTTGCCCCACTCTACCGCCGGATTGAGGGACATGCACAGATGCTTCCCCACTGGCGGGATTCAGAAAACAACCAACGTGCTTCCTTCCTATGCCACCTAGCAGGAGTTTCAAACATTTCGAAGCCAAAACGAAGCCAATGTACTCAGGTCTACCATGACTGGCATTTTCCGGAGGACAAGGAAGCGCCGGGAATGTGTAAATCATGGGACATGAGCCCGAAATATGCACGCCGCCACACCGGCTGGGAGCACCCGTCTTGACACCTAGCGGAAGACCTCATGAGTAGTGCGTACACTGTCTGGCGGTTATAGACTATCCGTATACATCAAATAATCGGTAGTAGAGGCATAATTATATTTGTATATGTATATATATATATACATATATTAGCTACCCCCCCCTCAAGGATCCACCTTTGACGTGTGTTTGCGAGCCGGATGCGAAATAGTGGATATTCTACAACGTATTCCGTTCTTTTGATAAGTTCTTCACTAAATAAGCTTCGCCTTGATCAAAGACGTCGCACATTCTAGATTCTGCATTTCCTTCATATACACCTTGAGTTTTTCCAAGCGGCATACATTCACATACGACTTCTTCTCGTGTTGCAAAAGATCGCAAGCTTGCATGCATGTTCTGTGTGAATAGGTTTTTGCATGCAGCAGTGTGGGCTCTGAAGGTAACACGCAACAGGGGAGCAAAGAAATGTCTTCTCATATAGCATGCCACCTAGCAGGAATCTCAAACATTTCGAAGCCAAAACGAAGCCAATGTACTCAGGTCTACCATGACTGGCATATTTCGGAGGACAAGGAAGCGCCGGGAATGTGTAAATCATGGGACGTGAACCCGAAATATGCAAGCCGCCACACCGGCTGGGAGCACCCGTCTTTACACCTAGCGGAAGACCTCATGAGTAGTGCGTACACTGTCTGGCGGTTATAGACTATCCGTATACATCAAATAATCGGTAGTAGAGGCATAAATATATTTGTATATATGTATATGTATATATATATATACATATATATATATATACCGGAGCCGGTGTTGTCCGCGCTCAAGCCGGTAACGGTGGCGGAAGCCAGAGTGTCAAAACAGATCGCGTGTGACTGTGTCACGCTGGTGCTTCGGTGATCCTGTCACTACAGCACTTCTTACATGTGTAATATATACCCTGGGCTTCTTGCGACCCTGGGAACTAGGGTCTTAGGTAAACGCCCCACTTCACCCGTGAATAGCGTGAAAGGCCCCCGTTTACCCGATGCCATAATTTATACGAAACCGCAGTGGTTCTTGGATCCTATATGTTGAAGTCCCAACATCATATCCATAAGCATTTTCCTACAAAGCTTGCATAGGGGTCTAAAGCTAGGTGAACCACAGGCCGTCAACCAAAAACCCGACATCCCAAGCCCAAAACCTTAAAACCTCAAAGCTCCAAACCGAAACCTCAAAACCATAAGCTTGGTCCTAAACCCTTTCGCCTGTGTCGGACAGACGTCTCCAAGACAGCCCTAGGAGTTAAAACCCTAAAGCCCACATCCAAAAAACCATAAACCCACTTGTGAAGCCTCCCCACCATGTTTTTTGGCTATCGGGCGGCGTGGAAACGAGCGCAACGTGCCCCAAAGAGCGAGATCTCTGATTGAATAATGTTTGTAAATATGCATAATTTAGCGACCTCTAAGCCTCTAGGCTCCTTCAAATTTCCAGGTACGAAAAAACTCCAAAGACAAAGTGATTCTACATCAGGCGACGGCCTGTGCTCGTGCATTAAGTTTGCAATTGCGGATATCAGCTGATCACGAGCAAACTTGCTGCAACAGCAGCTGGGCTCAGCGAGATCGCCGTACGGCGAGTTCAGGATGGGCTCCTTCCTACAATTTATATGGATTGGAAAAACTTAATTACGTAAGGGGCGAGCGAATCGTGCGGCGAGTCCAGGGTAGGCTCCTTCCTAAAGCTTCGATGGGTTGGGGTTGGGGGTGAACGACATATTCCGGGACAAATTAGGAGCAATCTGTGCTGTCCCAGCTTTGATTTTCCGCTCTCAGAGCAGCCATGCCCAGCACGCCGCTGGATCATAAAAGGGTCGAGACCATGAAGGCCAGGGATCACAAGCTTCCGATTCCTTTTTCTTCCTTGGGGTTTGGCTGGAGCTTCTGTGCGTGGCTAGCAGGTGTTTTACATGGAGCATCTGGACTATGACAACATGATGAAGACAAGGTTCGGGAATCAAATTGGCGGATGACCACGGGATCAGCGAGAAGAAAGTGGAGAAAAAGCTTGAGATGTCGAAGGCACGCACCCTGAGAGGCTTGAATTGAATAATCTATTGAATCTATTCGAAATAAACAGATTGCATTGAGGCCCCTTGCGACTTTAGCTTCGTTGATGTGCCCTCGAAGGGCATCACCTTCGATATCGTGGGAAGCTCATAACAAGAATCCTTGATTCCTTTGAAGATGCAGTTGCACCGTTTCAGGCCGAGGAGCCTGACGGAAAGGACAACTTTACTTTCCTCCTAGATTTCGTTGCGACCTTCCTGGAGTTCTACCCGACGTATCGCGAGATGGTCGTACACCGGCCATCATTTCCGCTGATGGCTTTAGAAATACTCTAGATTAGGTTGCATGCATGCTGCCCGGCCAGGCCGCCCTCCTCTTTGTTGCCAAGAAGAAGCGAAAGTTCAACGAAGCATGCTCAGCTATGTCCGCCGCCGAAGCGGGAAAACAAAAAGACGAGGCCGATGTTCTTTCGAATGTTCTTGTACTTTCGAATCTGAGTTGACTCAAGTTCTGTATTGGCAGGAGCAATCTCACAAACTTGACCATTTGGAAAGATATGGTGAACGAATACAAGGCCGGATTGAAACCACTATGTGATTATGACGTTTCGAAACAGCCTTTCAAATCTATGCCTAGGTAAAGAGCAAGGAGGAAGGAAAAGAAGCAGAAGACATAGCAGAGGCCAGTGAACAAGAAGAAGAAGGAGAAGAAGAAGAAGAAGAGGCCGAAAACGACCCGGAGGTGGACCTCGAAGCAACAACAGAAGACCTCGGTGGAACCTCGCAGTGTGAGAGTGAGAGCTCTAGTGGTGACGAGACAAAGGAGGTGAAAAGGCAAGAGGGAATTACGGTGAAGGAGGAAGTGGAAGTGGATGAGAAGGAAAAGATGAGCGCAGGGGAGGAGCCAGAGGTAAAGCAGGAAGACAAGAACGAGGCGAAGGCAGATACGATCCTAGAGGGTTCGACCCGACGGGCACGGGAGGAGGAGGACCCCGAGGAGAAGGCAAAGACGAGCCTAGAGGATTCGTTTTCAGGGGCACAGGAGGAAGAGAACCACAAAGAAAAGTCAAAGATGAGCCCAAAGGATTCGGACCCAGAGGTAAAGGAGAAGGAGGCAGACAAGGAGAAGGCAAAGATGAGCCCAAAGGATTCGAACCCAGATGTAAAGGAGAAGGAGGCAGACAAGGAGAAGGCAAAGATGAGCCCAAAGGATTCGAACCCAGAGGTAAAGGAGAAGGAAACAAACAAGGAGAAGGCAACGATGAGCCCAAATGATTCGAACCCAGAGGTAAAGGAAAAGGAGACACACAAGGAGAAGGCAACGATGAGCCCAAAGGATTCGAACCCAGAAGTCAAGGGCAAAGAAGGATAAAGTAGCAAAGAAGATCTCAGAGGATTCGAAGAAGAAGCAAAGGAACAGGAGCAGAAGAAGCCAAAAAGAGATGAAGAAGAGGATGCGAAGCCAAAAGATACGAAGGAGGAGACAAAGAGAT